AATATATCCGACCATGCCGTGAGCGAATTACATCAGATGAATAATACAATGCCAAGTGTATGGACAATAAGAAACATCCGGCAAAAGATGAACAAAAATATCAATGTTATCAACACCGAATTTGGATCATATATTCGAATTGAAGATGCAATAAAAACATTGATTCATACAAATAGAACATCATTATCAAAAGTAAGACGTAGTATAACAATACGCTTGTCAATAGATGGGACGCAGGTAGGTGAAAAATTAAAACTACTTGTTTTATGTGTTAGTTGTCCTCAATTTAGTTCGAGTACGCAACAAATTTCTTCTAGATTATTACCAATAGGCTTATTCAGGATCGAAGAAGAAAACTATGATACTGTAAAACAAGTTATACCAGATGAATTAATCAATGGAATACAGCAAAATCGTCGATTGTACATTAATGGCGAAGAATTTTCAATAAAGTTTAAGTTCGTATTGTTATTCTTGTCGTAACGTTTTTTTTGTATTAATACAATGATAGCAATATGCATATTGTTTTTCAGACTGGCATGCGATTATAAAATGTTATTAATTTTATTCGGACTTAATGCTGTTAGTGGTAAGTATTTCTGTCCATGGTGCAAAGTTAGTAAGTCAACCATTAAGCAATTAGGAACTTTTTCTGGATACGATATTACACGTGGTGCAAGATCTATGGAAGGTGACAACGAGATGAAAAAGTAAGACTAATCCTTAATTTTTGTACGTATCAAAAAATTTACCAGAACTTATGAGTTTAGGCCAGAAACTAAACGTCAATATGGTTATAAAAGATATCCAATATTTGGTAATCGATTTAGGTAAACTGCCAAATACCAGACATGAGCAAAGTTATATATCAGATTCATATCTCATTTAGTTTTCAAGATGCACGTCCTGATTTATTTCATTTTGAACATCGTATACATGACATATTGACGAAACATATACTTGGACTGCTTAATGAAACTTACGATATGGACAACATAAAAGAAACGGAAGAACTTTTATATGAGTTACATTCTATATCAAAAGATCAAAAGGTATTATTTTTTAACGATTCTGTTTAATCTTCTATTGTTTCTGTCATGTGAGAGTTCAATTACTAGTCGTAGATAATCTCAATATTAATCGAACTCATTCCGGAACCTTAAATGTGTCTGATTTTCATTTTAGGCAGGTATAAAATTTGAAATTAAAAATGGTAATCTAGAATTAAAAGGAAGATGCACGAATGGAATACAGCGTAAGTTTTTTAAGGATATACCATTAGGACGTGTGCTTTACAACAACCCACAACAAACATTAGATATTATGCAGTTATTACAAAATTTTTATCAGTTATTAAGTTTATATTCCGAACGTCAGTCAAGTCAACATTATTTTACCCATCTAAAACAAACATCAGTTATGTGGGTTAAACAATTTGCTAGTATATTTGGTGATTCATATGTTACACCTTACATGCACGTATTATGTGATCATATGTCCGAATTTCAAGAAAAAGACGAAGACGATGAACTATCATGTTTCAATTTACAAGGAGCTGAAAAATACAACGATTTAAGTACAACAGATTATTTTCGATCTACAAATAAGCATCATAACTCATTAGAACAAATGATTAAAAAACGATTTCAACAATATTATGTATTATTAGACACAAATGAAACTCAAGCTTTATTTACTGACATTAACTCGACTTTTAGTAACAACCTATTCAACGATACGACCTCGATTTATATTAATCTCCATTATCAACGAACGTAATTTTTAACGCAAATTTTATCATTTCATGTCAGCTGTTTTTTCTTCTCTCACATGTCTTAGTTGTTACACTAAATAATCTTTGGAAACATGGCGGTTAATTGTTTTTGAAGGAGTAGAAACAATTAGAAAAGAAAATCAAGCTCGATGTATATAAACTATATATAGGAAAATCAGTATACAATGATATAATTCGGGAATAGAGGAAAAAGTAGAATTTATTCTTTTCGTATTTATTGTTTCGAAAGAAAAGTTGTGTGCGCACAAAATATGAGCGTACAGAAAAAAATAAAAATTTGAACTGAACAAAACAAGATCAGAAGAATGAAACATGCAAGCGTTGTTTGATGTCTTGAGTTTATGTAATAAGGAGTGATAAAGTGATCTTTCCTGTTCAGAGCTAACATAGTGTGAGATACCGTAATTTCCACGTGAAACTATTTTTTCATGTTTTCGCAGAAACTAGACTTTGTACCCAAAAAGAAAGACCATATTTGACCGCTACGTGAAAAGACAAATCAGAATATATACCGATTCAGTTTTTTATATGCATCCCGACAA